TACCAGATGAAATCACAGCCCCAAGGTAGTGGACATTCTTTTTTTTTTTTCTGAGACAGAGTCTCGCTCTGTTGCCAGGCACCAGGCTGGAGTGCAGTGGCGCAATCTCGGCTCACTGCAACCTCTGCCTCCCGGGTTCAAGCAATCCTCCTGCCTCAGCCTCCCAAGTAGCTGGGACTACAAGCAAGCGCCACCACACCCAGCTAATTTTTGTATTTTTTAGTAGAGATGGGTTTCACCATGTTGGCCAGGATTGTCTTGATCGCCTGACCTCGTGATCCATCTACCTCGGCCTCCCAAAGTGCTGGGATTATAGGAGTGAGCTACCACTCCTGGCTGGTAATGGACATTCTTGGTGTCAATTGTTAATAATTATAGAAGAGATGCGCCAACCAGGAGTTGTTAGTTGAGGCTCACAGAGTGGGAGATGGCAACTGTTCCCCTCTCCAGGAGTTGTCTGTCTGCAGCTTCAGTGAGGACTGGAATGAGGACTGCTGGAATTAGGCAGGAAGGCAGCAGGTAGGGGACCTCAAGATGAAGAAGAGCCAGCCAGGCCTCATAAGCCAGACTACCTGGTTGCCCATTACTCAGAATTTTCAAATGTTGTTCATTTTTTTTTTTTTTTTTTTGAGACGCAGTTTCGCTCTTGTTACCCAGGCTGGAGTGCAATGGCACGATCTCAGCTCACCGCAACCTCCGCATCCTGGGTTTAGGCAATTCTCCTGCCTCAGCCTCCTGAGTAGCTGGGATTACAGGCACGCACCACCATGTCCAGCTAATTTTTTTGTATTTTTATTAGAGACGGGGTTTCACCATGTTGACCAGGATGGTCTCGATTTCTTGACCTCATGATCCACCCGCCTCGGCCTCCCAAAGTGCTGGGATTACAGGCTTGAGCCACCGCGCCCGGCCCTTGTTGTTCATATTTTAAAGGCCATTTTGCAGCCAGAGGTATGGGCTGGGATATTCAAGCCCAGGAGTAACCTTTCTGAAAGAAAGGGTAGGAGCTATTGAGAGGTAGGCCTTGAAGGCAAGCTAGGACCGATGCAGGACCGGAGGAAAGGCAAGCCTCTAAACTGGGGCTTAGCCCAGGAGGGTTCTTGGCTTCACCCAGGAGAGAATTCCAGAGTAAGCTGGTGGTGGCAGTGCACAGAGCAGCAGAGGTACTGCTCCTCGTGGAGCAGGGCTACTCATGGGCAATGTCCCCAAAGTCACAGTCCCCAAATATGAGGTAGAGCTGCACTCATATTTACACCCACTTTTAATTACATGCAAATTAAGGGGTGGTTTGTGTAGAAACTTCTAGAATGAGGGTAGTAATTTTCAGGCCATCGGGTTGTTGCCATGGAAAAGGGTATTAATATCTGGGTGTTGCCATGGCAATGGTAAACTGACATAGCACACTGGCGGGTGTGTCTTATGGAAAGCTGCTTCTCTGCTTCTGTGCCAGAACTGGTTTTTTTGTTGTTTTGGGTTTTTTTTTGTTTTTTTGAGATGGAACCTTGCTCTGTCATCCAGGCTGGAGGGCACTGGTGTAATCTTGGCTCACTGCAACCTCTGCCTTCCAGGTTCAAGCTATTCTCATGCCTTAGCCTCCCAAATAGCTGGGACTACAGGCACCCACACCACACTCGGCTAATTTCTGTAATTTAGTAGAGACAGGGTTTTGCCATGTTGCCCAAGGTGGTCTCGAACTCCTGAGTTCAGGCAATCTGCCCGCATTGGCCTCCCAAAGTGTTAGGATTGCAGATGTGAACCACTGTGCCTGGCCTGCCCCTGACCTGTTTTGATTGGTCCTCAATTTGGTCCACTGTCTGAGCCCTGCCTCCACAGTAGAGTTCACCTTCCTGAGTCCAGTCCCACTTCCCACCTCAAAACTGTTAGGAGTAGGGAGAGAAGGGTGTTGCTGGAAGGGAGAGCAGCAGAGGCTGGAAGGAGCATGGCATGAGGGGAATGGTGATGCCCTTAGCTGAAGATGCAAAGAGGTGTGTTGTGGGGATCCCTGAGAAAGATCCGAGGGGTACACTGTATCAGGCTCTGGAGCCCTGGAGTGGAAGGGCATAGGGAGGCTGTAGGAGCCATTGAGAGCACTGCAGCAGGGAGCAGCAAGGTGACAGTGGTGTTTTAGGAGGGCGAAGCTGGTGTTGGTACATGGGGTAGGCTGGATGAGGCGATCATGTGCAAAGCCTGAGAACTGGACTGACAAGTGGAGAGGCCTGAGTCCAAGAGCCAGGCAGGGGCTTCGGTGGGGTCAACCAGCTGGTAGGGAAATATGAATGGCTACATTCTTTTTTTATTTTCTTTTCTTTGAGACAAGTCTCGCTCTGTCACCCAGGCTGGAGTACAGTGGTGTGATCTTGGCTTACTGCAGCCTCCGCCTCCTGGGTTCAAGTGATTCTCCTGCCTCAGCCTCCTGAGTAGTTGGGACTACAGGCTCCTGTCACTGTGCTCGGCTTATTTTTGTATTTTTAGGAGAGACGGGGTTTCACCATATTGGCCAGGCTCGTCTCAAACTCCCAATCTTGTAATCCTCCCTCCTCGGCCTCCCAAAGTGCTGGGATTACAGGCATGAGACACTGTAGTGATGGCTACTTTCTATTCCTACAGTGACTGCCAAGCTGACTTTCTGACATTTAACCCAATCACAAACAAGAAATTGCTTTACACCATCATTACCATATTATTAAAGTTATACATCATAATTGTAGAAATTTGGAAAATGCAAATTACTAAAAATATATATATTTTTTAGATGAAGTCTTGCTCTTGTTGCCCAGGCTGGAGTGCAATGGTGCGATCTCGGCTAACTGCAACCTCCGCCTCCCGGATTCAAGCGATTCTCCTGCCTCAGCCTCCCGAGTAGCTGGGATTACAGGTGCCTGCCACTTCCCGGCTAATTTTTATATTTTTAGTGGAGATGGGGTTTCAGCATGTTGGCCAGGCTGGTCTCAAGCTCCTGACCTAAGGCGATCCACCCACCTCGGCCTCCCAAAGTGCTGGAATTGCAGGTGTGAGCCACCATGCTCAGCCTCTTTTGACAATGTTTTTCTATGTTGCCCAGGCAGGATGCAAACTCCTGAACGATTGATTTTCAGAATTGAAGGGGCAGATCCTGATTGCTTGGTTTGCAAAAGGGGGTTCACTAGGTGAGTCGTCATAAATTGAACAGATTTGTTTCTTTTATTTATTTTTATTTTTTAAGACGGGGTCTGGCTCTGTCACTTAGCCTGAGTACAGTGGTGCAATTACAGCTCATTGTAGCCTCGATCTCCTGGGTTCAGTTAATCCTCCCATCTCAGCCTCCCGAGTAGCTGGGAATACAGGTGCACACCTTCATGCTCAGCTAAGTTTTGAATTTTTCATAGAGGTGGGGTTTCACTATGATGCCCAGGCTGGTCTTGAATTCCTGAGCTCAAGTGATCCTGTCACCTCAGCCTCCCAAAGTGCTGGGATTACAGGTATGAGCCACTGCACCCGGCTGAACAGATTTCAAACGAGTTCTGGTGATATATTAGTTTTCTATTACCACATTACCATGAATACTACCACAAACTTCATGGCTTTAAACAACACACATGTATTATCTTAACAGTCTTGGTGGGTTAGGAACCTAAGTACAGCTTCTCTGGGCCATCTACTTAGCGTCCACCTGCTGCAGTCAAGGTGTGGGCCAGCGCTGGGTTTCACCTGGAGGCTGTACTGGGGAAGAATTTGCTTCCTATGTGCCTGGTTGTTAGCAGGATTCACTTCCTTTTGATTGCTGGATTGAGAGCTTTTTTTTTTTTTTTGCTGGCTGTGTGCTGGAGGCCCAGAGGCAGGTGACTAGATGGTGCTTACAGTTCCTTGTCACATGGAGTTCTCCAACATAGCCACTCACAGCCAGCAAGAGAGAGAGCCTTCAGCAAGATAAGGGGAATCGTGATGCAACATTATGTAATCTTGTGTAACGTTCTCATGTGCTTCCCATTGCCTTTGTAGATACTATTGATTGGAAGCAAATCAAAGATCATGACCACGTGCAAGAGAAGAGGATCACGCAAGAGCAAGAACACCAGGAGCTGGGGGTCACGGAGGTTACCTGTCACTGGCAAATCTGTCCACCACAGGGAGTTACTTGTTACCATGGCTATAGAACATTCCATCTTGGCTGGTCCGATGGTAGTGGGTTATCAGAACTTGTTAACATTAGTGTCATTAAAGCTGGTATACAACCTCCCCACTGCTAAATGTGACTGGCTCTTTAAATTAAAAAAAAAAAAAAAAAAAGAACATTTCATCTTTTCCTAAGTTTATGGATATGGAGCAACTGGAGTGGCCTACGCTGTTATTGGAGATGTAAAATGTTTAATCAGTTTGGAAAACGGTTTGCCAGTTTCTTGAAAACTGAAACACTTACCATATGATCCAACTGTTCTACTACTAGATATTTACCCAAGAGAAATGAAAACAACTCACATAAAGACTTGTGTACAAATGTTCATAGCAGCTTTATTCATAATGGTCCAAAAGTAGAGGCCAGGTGTGATGGGCTCACGCCTGTAATCCCAGCACTTTGGGAGGCCAAGGCAGGAGGACCACTTGGCCCCAGGCAACATAGGGAGACCCTGTCTTTACAGAAAAAAATTGTAAAAATTAGCCAGTCATGGTGGCATGAGCTGGTAGTTCCAGCTCTTCTGGAGGCTGAGGCGGGAAGATTGCTTGAGCCCGGGGGGTTGAGCTGTGATCATGCCATGCACTCCAGCTTGGATGACAGAGGAGTGACCCTGTCTCAACAGCAGCAACAACAAAACCAAAACCAAAAACAACACAAGAAAAACCCAAAAGTGGAAACAACCCAAGCATCAACAAGAGAGTGAATAAACACAAAACTATGCATGCAGTGGAATATTTCTCAGCAGTAACAATGCACAGACTAGTCATATGCACAACAACATAGATAACTGTCAAATCATCATGCAGCAAGAAAGAAGCCAGACAAAAAAGGATCCCCTCCCAAAATCCTGTATGATGCCATTTATTTGCCATTCTAGAAATGCAAATTAACCCATAGTTCCCCAAAACAGTTCATTTGTCGCCTGGGGTGAGACATAGAGGGAGAGATGGACTTTAAAGGGCACTTGGAAACTTCTGAGGGTGATAAAAATGTTTTGCATCTTTTTGTCTTTTTTTTTTAAATTGAGACAAAGGGCTGGGCACAGTGGCTCTCACACCTGTAATCCCAGCACTTTGAAAGGCTGAGGTGGGTGGATCACTTGAGGTCAAGTGTTTGAAACCAACTTGTCCAACATGGTGAGACTCCATCTCTACTAAAAATCCAAAATTATTCTTCCTGAAATTCCTAGTCTTTCGTGGTAAAGAAGAAAAAAAAATCCAAAATTAGCCAGGTGTGGTGGGACACACCTGTAGTCAGAGGCTGAGGTTACAGTGAGTCAAGATTGTGCCACTGCACTCCAGCCTGGATAACAGAGCAAGACTCTGCCTCAAAAATAAATAAATAGCCAGGCACAGTGGCTCATGCCTGTAATCCCAGCACTTTGGGAGGCCGAGGTGGGTGGATCACAAGGTCAGGAGTTCGAGACCAGCCTGGCCAATATGGTGAAACCCTTCTCTACTGAAAATACAGCAACAAAAAATTAGCCGGGCACGGTGGTGGGCGCCTGTAGTCCCAGCTACTCAGGCAGCTGAGGCAGGAGAATTGCTTGAACCTGGGAGGTGGAAGTTTCAGTGAGCCGAGATCACACCACTGCACTCCAGCCTGGGTGACAAAGGGAGATCCATCTCGAAAGAAAGAAAGAAGGAAGGAAAGAAAGGAAAGAAAGGAAAGAAAGGAAAGAAAGGAAAGAAAGGAAAGAAAGGAAAGAAAGAAAGAAAGAAAGAAAGAAAGAAAGAAAGAAAGAAAAGAAAGAAAGCAAGCCTGGTGCAGTGGCTCACGTCTGTAATCCCAGCACTTTGGGAGGCTGAGGAAGGTGGATCACCTGAGGTAGGGAATTTGCGACCAGCCTAACCAACATGGAGGAAACCCCGTCTCTACTAAAAATACAGAATTAGCCAGGGTGCTGGCACATGCCTGTAATCCCAGGTACTCGGTAGGTTGAGGCAGAAGAATCGCTTGAACCGGGGAGGTGGAGGTTGCGGCGAGCTGAGATCATGCCATTGCACTCCAGCGTGGATGACAGAACAAGACTCCATCTCAAAAAATAAAATAAAATAAATAAAATCAGACAAGTTGTTGCTACGTTGCTCAGGCTGCTGATACTGCACCCTGGCCTCAAGCTATCCTTCTGCCCCAGCCTCCCAACGTGCTGGAACTACAGGCATGAGCCACTGTACCCATCTTGTTCTGTTTTGCTCTGTCTCCAGGCTGGAGTGCAGTGGCGCGATCTCGGCTCACTGCAACCTCTGCCTCCTGGGTTCAATTGATTCTCCTGCCTCAGCCTCCCAAGTAGCTGGGACTACAGGTGCACATCACCACACCTGGCTAAGTTTTGTACCTGTAGTCCCAGCTACTCGGGAGGCTGAGGCAGGAGAATCACTTGAACTTGGAAGGCGGAGGTTGCAGTGAGCCAAGATGGAGCCACTGCACTCCAGCCTTGGCGACAGAGTGAGGCTGTCTCAAAAAATAATAATTAAAAAAATAAAATAAAATGAGACAAGTTATTGCTATGTCACCCAGGCTGCTAATATTGAACTCCTGTCCTCAAGCCTCTGCCTTGGCCTCTCAAAGTGCTGGAACTACAGGCGTGAGCCACCGTGCCCAGCCCGTTTCAATTAAAGAAAAAAAAAAAAAAAAAGGCCTAGGCAACAGAGCAAGACTCTGTCTAAGAAAAAAAAAAAGAATGGAATGATACTCTCATAACCCCTTGGAAACATTATTACTTCTGTTTAACAGATGAGGAATGTAAGACACAGAGGCTGAGTAATTTGCAGCCACACACTGCTAAATGGTAACATTGGGACTGTAATCCAAGCCTTCTGATTCTTTTTATTAATTTTTTTTGAGATGGGGTCTCACTACGTTGCCCAGGCTGGACTGGAACTCCCAGGCTTAAGTGATGTATCTTGCCTGGGCCTCCCAAAGTGCTGGGATTACAGGGGTGAGCCACCATGCCCTGCAGCAGGCTTTCTGATTCTAAACCATAGATTCAGTGAAACTGCTCTCCATCCCCTCCAGAGATGTTTGCCTGGACCCAGTTTTCCTCAGGATGTCAATGAATAGTTCATAAGAATTTAGTGAGCAAAGGTCAATCTTCATCAGGCGCATGCGTCCCTTAATTTTCCCACGAGGAGAGACACCTCCCTCTTTTCCTTCCGCTTTGCTAGTATTTTGGCCCGGGCGACTCGCCATCGCCGTGCGGAGGCGTTCGCTAGTTGCAGTGATGGCGACTGGAACGCCAGATTCTCAAGCGCGGTTCGGTCAGTCAGTGAAGGGGCTTCTCACAGAGAAGGTGACCACCTGTGGTACTGACGTAATCGCGCTCACCAAGCAGGTGCTGAAGGGCTCCCGGAGCTCTGAGGTGAGCTTGGAGTGGACTCTCCCGGCCTGATAGTCCGGGTAGTCGCAGGCTCTCGGTGCTGTGGGAAGGATGTCATGTTGCATCCTGGGAGTTGTAGGCCATGAAGTAGTCGCTAAGTGTAGGTCTTGTTCGCGGAGGCGTGTGTTCCGTAGGGTGTGTAGTCTCTGGTTAGAGATTGTGCGTGAGGGTCGGGGGAAGAAATGATGCCATGGGAATCTGTGCTTTTATACAGACAGAGCTTCTGCACGGCCCACGAGCCAATGTTCCCAACCGGTTCCTCATTTATTTCTCTGAGTTATCTGCAGTGAAGATTGGTTCCTTTCAGCCAATTCCGCATGGTTTGTCCCCAGCATCTGGGATTCCTTTCACACATTTGTGCATCACCTGTCTATGGATTTATTCTTCCCTGATTTGTCTTTCTGGCCACTTCTTGGTTTTCTGTTTCATAGATTAGCTTTCTCCTTTGCCCCGTTTTCTCCCTTCCATCCTTTGGCTGGTTCCATGAATGGAATTATTTGATGGCTTTTCTTAACCAGAAAGCTTTGTATATGTGCACCCCGTGTCTCTCCAAAAACAGACCTATCCATTGAACTCCTGGATATTCACCTCAGGGAAATGAAAGTATACGTCCACACAAATATTTACGCATCCTCGTGGCACATTTATTTTTGATAGCACCAAACTGGAAACAACCCCAATGCCCATTGACTGGTGAATAGATAAATGAAATGGGTCAATGACATAGCCATTCCACTCCTAGGTGTTTACTCAAGAGAAATGAAAACAGGTTCATCAATTTGTTAGATAAAGCAACTGCCTACATAACATATCATCTAAGATTTCCAGTTTGGGTTTTTTTCAACTCTGACATCTTGAATATCTGTAAAGCAATCTGAGCACAGCATCGTTTTACATTTCTGTAGTGGCTCACACCTGTAGTCCCAGCACTTTGGGAGGCCGAGGTCGGTGGGTAATATGAGGTCAGGAGTTTGAGACCAGCCTGGCCAATGTGGCAAAACCCCGTATCTGCTAAAAATACAAAAATTAGCCGGGCTTGGTGGTGCGTACCTGTAGCCTCTGCTACTCGGGAGGCTGAGACAGGAGAAACGCTTGAACCCAGGAGGCGGAGGTTGCAGTGAGCTGCGATTGTGCCACTGCACTCTAGCCTGGGTGACGGAGCAAGATTCTGTCTCAAAAACAAACAAAACTCAACACAAGTACTCATTGTTAGTGAGTGTTTCCTATTGTCAACTTAGTTTTATAGCAACTGTTTCTGTTTTTTAACTCATATTTCATCAGTTTCCATGTTATTTTATTAAGTTACATAGTTGTAGTAGCAAGCTTAGTATGTCCACAGGTCTTTGGATTGTATGTGAATCTTCATTAGCAGCTTTTACTTATATTAATTTGGAGCAGTAGACTTCTCTTTACAGAATTGGCTTCAATGCATTGTCTAGCTTTTATTGATAGTGGCTACAAGAAACAACTGTATGAAGAAGGTGTTTGCATTTATCATAACACTATTGTTGAAATCGCCAACCTGATAATCCCAAATATGCTTTATTTGAGGTCCCACATGTTACACTCTTTTTAGGATTCAGTATCAAAGGAAAGTTTATGTCGAAAGATTATGTTGCCTTTTACCAAATAATAAGAATTATGCAACTCATTGTGTTTCGCTTTTTCTCTTGGTTGCACAGAAGTTCCTATGTCAGTTTTAGTTGTAGACATAGTTCCTTCTCTTTTTTCATCATTTTAAATTCCGTTTCTGTTTTTTAAAATATATGTGTGTATATGTGTACATACACATGGTTTGGTATAAATTGTCTTGAATCTTTGTGGAGGGAATGGTATAAATATATAAATTTTGGTTAGGTGCCGTGGCTCATGCCTGTAATCCCAGCACTTTGGGAGGCTGAGGTGGGTGGATATCTTGAGGTCAGGTGTTCAAGACCAGCCTGGTCAACATGGTGAAACTGTCTCTACTAAAAATATGAACATTAGCCAGCTACTTGGGAGGCTGAGTTAGGAGAATTACTTGAACCCAGGAGGTGGAGGTTGCAGTGAGCCAAGATTGTGCCACTGCACTCCAGCTTGGGTGACAGAGAACAAGACCCTGTCTCAAAAAAAAAATATGTGTGTGTGTGGGGAGGCGGGGGCTAGATGGTGTTTATAGTTAACCACCTGTAAATATTGAACCTATTCATCATAATAATAAACATTACATTTATTTAGTATCTTGTATGTGCTGACACTGCTGTCTTTTTGGCAGTTTAATTCATGAAGTCTTTAGAATGACTAATAAAGGGAGTACTTTTCTTACATAGAGGATACAGAGAGGAATTGAACTTGTTCACACCTAGCAGGGAAGGAGAACTCGGATTCAAACCTAGGCATACTGGTTCTAGGCTTGGATACTACCTCTTGTGTGGTCCTAGCTGGATTAAAAGGCCAAAAAGCCACTGTGCCACCAATGACCTCCCTGATTGCCTTGCTGCTTCCCATTCCTCTTCTTTGCGTACTTTTCATCTGGGCTTCTTCTGAGTAAATTTACATTGGATGCTCAGTAAGTGGTGTGGATTGAATTAAGCTGAAATCAATCCAGCTGTCTGGGACAGAGTTGACATATCATTTCTCACTTTTCTAGACTTTGTCTTTTCTTTTCTCTTATTCATTATTTTTATAGATGTCGTCTTTTTATTGATCTCCTACATGGCACTTACCACATGCCATACCATCTTTTTCTATAGTTACTTAGTAATTTTGATTTTGCTCTTTACTAGACTCAGGTTATTGGAATATCTTACTGATTTTCGATTCCTCTTAGCCTATAAAGCATTGCTTCTTGAGCAGACTCCACACAGCTATTTTGTTTGATTAGGAATTTTCATGTGTACAACATTCATTACACAGTATTCATTTAACAAATAGTAGGTGTCTGGTATGTGCCAGGAACTGTTTTCTAGGTACGAGGGATAAACAAAAGTAAATCCCTCTACGTAGGACATTTATATTTTAGTGAGGAGATAGGCAAAAAACAAATGAAACAGAAAAAAATTAGGTGGTGGTAAATCCTATGAAGAAAAAATAATCTGGGAATAGAGAGTGATGAAAGGGTTAATCTTTTTTGTTTGTTTGTTTTGAGATAGAGGAGAAGTCTCTTTCCAGCTGTCTAGCTCTGTTGCCTCAGGCTAGAGTGCAGTAGTGTGATCTGGCTCACTGGAACCTCCACCTCCTGGGTTCAGAGTTCAACTGATTCTCATGTCTCAGCCTCCCAAGTAGCTGGGATTATAGGTGCTTGCCACCATGCCCAGCTAAGTTTTGTGTGTTTAGTAGAGATGGGGTTTCATCATCTTGGCCAGGCTGGTCTCCAACTCCTGACCTCAAGTGATCCTCATGCCTTGGCCCCCCAAAGTGCTGGGATTACAAATGTGAGCCACCATGCCCAGCCAGAAGGGTTAATCTTAAATAGATGATCAGGGAAGGGCTCTCTGGGGAGAGAGGCTATGAGGAGAAACACACCGTTTCCCCACAGCACAATGAGTGGTTATGACCAATAGGCCCTTGCATGCCTGTGCTTCTGCTCCTCCATTTGAGTTGTGTGCCTAGTGAGGGTCCATTGTGTTTTTTTCTCAACATAATGTGTGTGTGGGCTGAGCGCAGTGGCTCATGCCTGTAAGCTTAACACTTTGGGACGCCAAGGCAAGATTGCTTAAGCCCAGGAGTTGGAGACCAGCCTGGGCCACATGGGAATATCCTGTCTCTTTAAAGAAAGAAAAAAAAAGAATGAAAAAAATGTTAAAATGTATGTCTGGCACTTATGCTTACAGTTGCAACTACATAATTTAATGAAATAATATGAAAAATGATGATATATGAGTAACAAAAAAGAGGGTAGCTATTGCTATGAAAACGAAGGTGAAAATCAGAAACACTTGTTGAAGATGAGTAGGTAAGACAAATTGTTCTTGAGTTAATTATGAACAAGTTAACGGTAAAAGCCTGGGAGAAAAATTTGTAGAACTCTAAAAAGATTCCGTGATGAAGGTTGTTTTACAGATGTATTCAAGATGTTCTTCCTTTTTTTTTTTTTTTTTTTTTGAGACGGAGTTTCGCTCTCGTTACCCAGGCTGGAGTGCAATGGCACGATCTCGGCTCACCGCAGCCTCCGCCTCCTGGGTTCAGGCAATTCTCCTGCCTCAGCCTCCTGAGTGGCTGGGATTACAGGCACGTGCCACCATGCCCAGCTGATGTTTTGTATTTTTAGTAGAGACGGGGTTTCACCATGTTGACCAGGATGGCCTCGATCTCTTGACCTTGTGATCCACCCGCCTCCGCCTCCCAAAGTGCTGGGATTACAGGCGTGAGCCACCGCGCCCGGCGTTCTTCTTCTTTTTTTTTTTTTTGAAATGGAGTCTCGCTCTGTTGCCCAGGCTGGAGTGCAGTGACACAATCTCGGCTCACTGCAACCTTGGTCTCCCAGGTTCAAGCGATTCTCCTGTCTCAGCTTCCTGAGTAGCTGGGACTACAGGCACCTGCCACCACACCTGGCTAATTTTTGTATTTTTAGTAGAGATGAGGTTTCACCATATTGGCCAAGCTGGTCTTGAACTCCAGACCTTGTGATCCTCCTGCCTCAGCCTCCCAAAGTGCTAGGATTACAGGCATGAGCCACTGTGCCCGACCAATGTTCTCCCATTTTAAAGAAAGCAAAGCTAGAAATCCCAGATGGTGTGTTATGTGTCTGGTTGGCTTATGTAGGAAAGTGATGCTGATTGCCAATGAATATATCAAGGAAAGGCCTTGGCTTTACATGACAACAGCCCCTGCATCAAGGCAAACACAACTCCCATTGAGACTGTTTTCTAAAGTTTTTCTCCGCTGCTTCTATGTTTCAGGCCATCCTTGTTGCTTGCTTGGAGTCCTGCCGTGTCCTCCTGACCAATCTTTCTGCCGCATTCCCCACTGTAGTCCACCTGTTTACTGCATTTCTAAAACAGAAAAATGAATCATGCCATTTTCCTCTAAAATTATACACACAAGATGAATTCTAAACCCTAACTTTTTTTTTCTCATGCAAACTGACTAAACCCTAACTTTTAAGTCTCAGATTAGAAGTCTCTTCTTTTAGGAACCCTTCCTGAACACCTACCCCTGTAATCGGTTAGATACTCCTGCCCCACTCTGTGCTCCCAGAGCAGCCAGTGCTTCCCCATCAGCACTTACTGTAAGATGATTTAAGTGCCTGTGTCTCCTTTGTACCCACTCCAGATTGTGAGCTCGGTTATCACACTTAACTAGAGTATGGGCATATGTTAAACACTCAATAAATATTTGTTGAATGAATAAGTGAATGAAGTAGATTCTGTTAGAAACTCCCCTTTTTTTTCCCTGCCATTGGTTTGTAAGTCACCATCTCCCATCTATAGGAGTTTGAAGTTTTCCCCTAAAAGTAGCCATAGGAGGAACAGGCATTTCATAATTGTTGGTGGGAATGCAAAGTGGTACAGTCTTAAAGGAGAGGAATTTGGCAATAAGTAGCAAAATTCAAACCCACAATCACAGTCACAGTCCTGTGAGTCTATCCCAAACATATGCTGGCAAAAAGATGCGAAGATTATGGATATTTGTAACAGTAAAAGCTGTGACATCAGATACAAGATATGAGGATTTTTTGGATCACTACTTACTTTGGGGAAAGACTGGGAACAGCTCCCAAATCTCCCAGCACCCCAGCAGAGAACTGATTGAATAATCTTTTTTTTTTTTTTTTTAGACCGAATCTTACTCTGTCACCCAGGCTGGAGTGCAGTGGTGTGATCTTGGCCCACTGCAACTTCTACCTCCTGGGTTTAGGCGATTCTTCTGCCTCAGCCTCCCAAGTAGCTGGGACTACAGGTGCGTGCCACCATGCCCGGCTAATTTTATTTTTATTTTTAGTAGAGACGGGGTTTCACCATCTTGGCCAGGCTGGTCGCGAATTCCTGACCTCGTAATCTACCCGCCTTGGCCTTCCAAAGTGCTGGGATTACAGGCGTCAGCCACCGCACGCGGCCTGATTGAATAATCTTATGGTCACCTATAGAATGTGGTACTCTACAGTTGTAAAAGAGCAGTGGGTTCAATAAGAGATAGCAGCTGAATAGGAGATTCAATATGTATTGCTGGAGATAACCCTCAGGGATCTATTGCAGTGAAAATAGCAAGGTGTAGGCTGGGCTCTGTGGCTCATGCTTGTAATCCCAGCACTTTGGGAAGCTGAGGCGGGCAAATCACTTGAGCCCAGGAGCTTAAGACCAGCTTGGGAAACATGTGAAACCTCATCTCTACAAAAAATTATCTGGGCATGGTGGTGTGCACCTGTAGTCCCAGCTGCTCTGGAGGCTGAGGTGGAAGGATCACCTGAGCCCGGGAAGTTGAGGCTTCCGTGAGCAGTGATGGTGCCACTGCACTTCAGCCTGGGTGACAGTGAGATGATATCTAAAAAAAAA